ATAATTATAACTGAATATTGGCTTTTAGATGTGTTCAGGCCAGTACTCTAATCAAACATGTGATGTATGAGGCAGATTGGACATTGTATGCATGAGTTACAACAACGTCCTGTTTGATGGTGTTAATAGCATGCTTTAGCACTTAGCTAAGTGTTGCTAGCATGTTTGAGCATGTTTCTAACATATTTAGCACACAATGGCATATTTTACTGTGTTGCTAATAGTGCATCCTCTAATCAAACATGTGACGTTTGAGGCAGATTGGACATTGTATGCATGAGTTACAACAACTTCCTGTTTGATGGTGTTAATAGCATGCTTTAGCACTTAGCTAAGTGTTGCTAGCATGTTTGAGCACATTTCTAGCATGTTTAGCACACAATGGCATATTTTACGGTGTTGCTAATAGTGCATCACAGTGTTAAACATGTCACTTCCTATTGACAGTAGGTGACACTATGACTAAAACTGAATCTTTGCATTTAGATGTGTTCAGGCCAGAACTCTCATCAAACAAGTTTTGGGCAGATTGGACACTGCATGCCTGAGTTACATCAACTTCCTGTTTCACTGCATTAAATTACAGCAACTTCCTTTTTCATGGTGAAATATCAAATTTTGTCAGGCTGCCAGGGACATGACCCTTGACGAAAACTCAAGATCTCCACAATTTAATGTCACAAAGGCCTTATGATGACCCTCACCAAATCTGAAGATGATCCGATTAAAACTGTAGGAGGAGTTCATCAAAGTACGAGGCCTGGAAATGGCAAAAACTGCACAAAAATCGTGCAGGAAATTCAAAATAACGTACTTCCTGTTGGGTTTTCGATTTTGTTCCAAGATACTTTTTTGTAGGTAATGGTGTGTTACACGTGTGTACCGATTTTCGTACATGTACGTAAAACGTAGCTCGAGGCGCACTCCGTTGAAATTTTACAGGTGGCGCTATCGAGTGCGATTCACTTTGGAGAAGAAGAAGAAGAAACGGAGCAATTCCAACAGCTCACACCATCGGTGCTCGGGCCCTAATAACTTGAGAAATTACACACAATAAAAAACTGTTCACAAGTAGATAGTTAGTAGATAGTAATGCACCAGTAGGCTTGTAATGCAGTTACCTTGATTATTCTTTGCTTTCTTCACATACTGTATCATGTCTGATAATTCAAGCACTGACATGTTGTCTCTATAAACAAGTACACTAAAAAAAACTTTATTGTGGCAAAATTGTTCCGTTATGGTAAAAATGACACGGTTACAGACACACCCTGTCTGTAAAGTACAGCCTCCTCCATACTGAATAAATAAACATCCGAGAGATGTGAAAGATGCAGAGGCTCTTCCACTGAGGACCTTCAATCTGAGGTAGGATGAGTTTAAAGTTTTAAGTCTGTTGAAAATGATAGATGTCTTCAAAGAGTTTAAATGCATTCAGATTATAAATTATGATTATGAATTACATTTACTAAATTAAAAAATATAAAATTTAAATCAAACAAAAGTTATTAAACTATTGACACAATATTGCCAATGATAGGTATCAGTGTTGTGTTCTTGAAAATTTTAATTAAAGTTTAAGGTTATGTATGTAATTTTTTAAATGATAAAATATTTTCTCCTATCCCATCTTAATGTGGATATAACTGTAAGCAGCCACTCCAAAGTTGATTTCCCCTAAAAGTGTACACTGAGTGGCTCTGTGGCACTTTCAAAGCATTGATCTATTTTTTGATGAGTTTCCCAATTGGCGCTCAATAGAAATTCCGCAACTTTAAGAACTTTTATAAAAATGTACTACTGTAAGGAAGTTCTAAATTGTCAATATTTTTTAGTGTAAACATTAAAATAGCACAAAATTTTCCTGTTCAGTTTTTTATAATGATAATATTAAAATCTTAAATTCAGTATAAAACTACAACATTTTGCCTTTATTAAATTGCCTGCCAATTCTATTTACAGCTTATATGTTTGATTTGCAATATTCTGTTTTTGATTAAGATTTTGCCATGGGTGCCATGAGACTCTGCTTCCTGCTCTTCTGTCTCTTCTTGGCGAGTGTCTCTTCTGTGAGAAAACTTAACAATATTGATGACTTGAAAAACACACGCTATGGAAGTTCTTCTCCACATCATGGACTCCAATTATTATTCTGGTTTGCCCAAAGAGTGGATGTTGATCAGAACAATAATATGTATTTGAATTTTAATCCTATTAGAGGTGATTATGGATTTCACCGGTTTGGAAATCATGAGCGCATTCTCCCGCTATTGAGATCCAGGGAGAGTTATCATACTTTTGGCAATCTATTTTTGCAGCGTGCTAATGAATTGCCAAATTATGTGCACGAGAACAGAAACAACATGCTAGAAAGCAACATGGACAGGCTCATTGTCTGTATGAGTCAAAATAGGCCAGGGAGGATACTCAGTGTGTTTATTACAGCACATAACAGTGGCAGGAATGACTTTAATCCTTCTGTCACTTATGAGATTACTCCTGCACTGATATTGCAGCTCAGACACCCTTTTAAATGCAATTCAGATCAGAACAATGTTTACATTATATTAAGTGATACAGCAGAAAAAACAGAAGAAGACAGATGCCGTCAGTTTCTGAATCAGTTAGGATATAAACGCAATGACTCTACAAACACCAGGCGCCAAAAGAAACGTTCACCTGATTCCCAGTACAATACATATGAGGGAATTAAACTAGAGATAAAAGCAAATAAAAAAGGTTGCTCAAAACTCATATGGGAGATACCTGATGATATAATAAAACAATATAAATATGTCTACATTGATATTTGCCAAAACATTTATTCCACTAATACTAATGAAATTTGTACAGATGTCAAGAAAGAGGTCAAAATTACAAAATCATCTGACGCTTTAGATACCTCTGTCTCACTGAATGCTGGTCTCCAACCCAGACTGCGACTGTACACATCATATTTTAGTAAAGCAGACATCTGGTATGGACCAGAGTTTGATGGAGCTAACAGAGTGATCCCCATTAGAATAAAGGGGTTTGATGCTAGTCTGCAGCTCTACACTGAAGACGGAAAAGCCAGTGCTCGACTCTACATCAAGAAAACCTTCAGTGACTGGAAAAAAATTTTTTCCCACTCGTGGGTGGGGTTTTACAAAAGTTCACAGGAAAAAAATGATGCCTATTCAACATATCAGTATGCTGATAAATTTACAAAGATTAAAGACTTTAGCACAGAGGATTATGATATTTACCATTACAAGTCAAATTTAGTCATTGCTCCTGGAGTGCAACTCCGATTCCTGCTGGACAAAAAATATGACAAAGTTTTAGCACAGACTATGCCCTGGGAGGGTGTTGAAAAAGTGACTGTATTACCATTAAATTGTGAAGATCCTGTGCCTAAACTCTCATCACCCTGGGCTGATCCAGAATTCTTTTACAAACTAGAGTTTTATGATGCCAACAATGTCTTCCCTACTTCAATACCAAAGACTGATGCTGGTCTGCAGCTTTTCACTAAAGACGGTAAAGCTTGTGCTCTGCTTTATATCAAGAAGACCTTCAGAAACTGGAAAGATACTTTCTACTACTCATGGGTGGGGTTTTATAGTAGTTCACAAAAATCCAATAAAAAGTATGACACATATCAATATGCTGTGAAGTTTGAAAAGATGGAGGACGGTACTGAGAATTATGATATTTATCAGTACAAATCCAGTTTGGCCATTGCGCCTGGAGTGCAGATTCGTTTCCTGAAGGACAAAAGTTCTGATAATGTATTAGTGAAAACTGAGCCCTGGAAGAGTGGTTAAAAAGATTAACCTTAATGCCTTTAGTGAGTCTTTATGTACATACATCAACTTCTGTAACAATCTGCTGTCCATGTACTTATAAGAATGATCATTAATACACTGTTTTAACATATAATGCACTGTTAATCACAGAAGTTGTACTCTAATACTTATATCTTAATTTGTTATTAACAAACTAATTATTCCAGATAAGATAAAATCTTGATAACAACAATCTTGAAAACTGAATTTAATTATAATATCTAATATGCAATAGCCTTGATTTGTTTGTTGTATACATTTTTCCCCAGTTTCTATTGAAATGCATCTGATGAAAGTGAGTTGGCTCTGTGTCCTTTTTTTTTTTATATTCCGATGGACAGAACAAGCAAACAAAATTGAATAACACTGGCAGTGGTTAAAAAAATGGTTTGATAGAACAGAAAAAAAAGTTTTTAAAAAAACTGTGAATTCTGTCTTTCTAAATTTTGGGAAATGTCACATGTTTTAAAAGTGATTAATGTATACAATTGTATTATTTACAAAATCTGTTGGCTAAAACAATCTTTTTTTTTTTTTACTGTATTTATTGTAATTTACCCTGCCCTACCTGGGCCCTCTCACGCCACATGTCCATTTTCTCACACAGTGCCACTGACATGACATCTGTCTATGAATTTTTGCTTTTTATATTTAGAAATATGGTATAGTTAAGCAATACCAGACGAGGAAGAAGAGTATTGTTTTTGCCGAAAATGATTCCATGAGTCGTTCGTTAAGACAATGACTTGCTAGTGACAGTGGTTTTAGTTATTTAAAAACATAATTAATTTGTTCCCCACCATTTCATTTTTCTATGTTCACAATGTTATATTCAAAACATTAATCTCATAAAATTATTCATGCAATTATAATTAAGTGCATTAATGCCACCCCTGAGCTGCATTACATTTCATATGCAGCTTCTTTCTGCAGTGCAAGCACTGATTTTGTTGATACTGATTTGATTTGATTGGTAACAGCTTATAATGGCTTATTATTCTAATCATATATAGTACTTTCTCACTCCAAACTAAAAATAATTATTTGAATTTAGACTTGGAGTTAACAAATTCGAAATATTCTAATATTCCAATTGTTCCTTTAGGTTTCATAATAATAAAAAATTATAAAAAAAAACAAAACAAAGTATAGCCTGAATAAGTAAGTCGCTTTGGATAAAAGCATCTGCTAAATGCAAAAATTTAATTTGTAATTTCAATTTAATAATACCATAACCCTTGAAATATAGTAATTCTTAAAATATTTATAACTCTATATAAAAAGTGACTTTTTTTCTCATATATACACATTTCAGCTTATAAAATGCTTAATATTACACAACAAAGGACAAATTTATGTTTTTCCTTTCTAACGAAAATGTGTCAGGTTATAAACCACAGAAACTTCTCTGACTCTTGACGTGTGACTATTATCTGTGTGTAGTGTGAGATCTTCACAGCATCGCAGCCTCTGCAAAAGCTCCACATCATGCTCAGGGTCCTTATTACCCTGGCAGGTTTATGAAGTATAGGTGTCAGGGCTCTGCCCTGGCAGCTTTGTCTGTGTTGTCTTTGTTTAATGTTTCTTTGTTTGTCTTGTGTTTTCACACATTGTTTTGTCTTTGTTTATGCTTGCCATGTGTTCCTGTGGTCCCACCTCCTTGTTTCCCTGGGTCACGCCCACTTGTTTGGGCCTTGTCTTGTCCTCGTTTCTGTAATTGGGCTCACCTGTCCCTCGTGTACTTTCCTCCCTTTATATTGTGCTGTTTTTCCTCTTGTGGTGGCTGGTTCGTCTTGTGCCATAGAGACAGTTACTGACTTGCTGCGCTATATTCCAGTCTTGCCCTGTTATTGTGTATCCTTATTGTAGTTTTTGCTCTTGATTTTCTATCTTCTGATTTTGGTTTTGTTCTTTAATAATCTTGCTTATATTTACTTGTAATATCTTATTTAGTTGTTCTTCAGCCTTGTTTCTACTCTTGAACTGTTTAGATTTTATACTTTAGTTATTTATTTAGTCTAAACTTAGATATTTCCATTATGTTTTTGTTTAGTTTTGTTTTACTTTTATTTTTCCCTCTTTTGTACATAATGTTGTTTCTCTGTGTGTTGCACTGAGTAGTGGTGTTGTGTGGTGTTTTGTTGTGTATTTGTGTGTTCGTGCTGTGTGTTCCCTCCAGTCCTGCTCTACCAGCCTGAGACTCCCCTCTGCTGTTCTCTGCTCTGGTTGTCTCTCCATCCTTCCGCCCCGATTTGACCAATGACTGAGACTGTACCCCAGACGGTCTGCCTCTCAGGGCATTGATCTTTCCCTGCTGGTTGGAGCTGTCCCAAGATTGTCCACCCCTGTGCTGTGAACTTGTGTCTTCATTAAATCTTGTTTCACTCACTCTGCATTTGGGTCCCTTCCTGTTGACCGTGACAGAACGAACCAGCCAAGTCAGGACCCAGCAGAATGAGTCTCAAGATCCTGCCCCCCGCAAATGCTCAGGAGAGACTGGCCCGCCAGCAAGGCCTGGGAGCACTTCGTCAGCAGGGGCTGGAGGTGAGGGCCTTTGCCCAGTTCTTTTGGACCATGTCCAGGGGCCTGGAGTATGATGATGCAGCCCTCAAGGAGGCCTTTAATATCTGCCTGGATGACCCTCTGCCACGGTGGGCGATGGAGCAACTGAGAATACTGGACTTCTGGGACTTCTCCAACTATTTGTACCACCGCAAGGATTGGCAGATACTTACACCACCAGAGCAGTGTTTTGCAGTCATCTCTGAGTCCAGAGTCAGCTGAGGCCATTCCAGTCACTCCAGAGTCAGTGATTGAGTCTGTACTTGCAGCCCCAGAGGGCATTTCTGAGTCTGTTCCAGTAGCCCCGGAGGGCAGTTCAGCTGCCTCTGAGGGCAGTCAAGAATCTACTCCCGAGTCTGTTCCAGTAGCCCTGGAGGGCAGTTCAGCAGCCTCCGGGGGCAGTCAAGAGCCAATTCCCAAGTCCGTTCTAGTAGCCCCGGAGGGCAGTTCTGCAGCTCCTGTGGAAGGTCAAGAGCCAGCCCCTGAGCCCGCTCCTGTGTCGGCTCCAGCCCCTGAGTCTGCTTCAGTCCAGAAGCCTGTCAACCCAGAGGCTGTAAAGTCTGCTCCAGTTCTCCTAGAACTAGTAGAGTCAACTGTAGTCATTCCAGAGTCAGTCAAGTCAAGCCCAGTCACTCCAGAGTCTAAGTCCGCTCCAGTTCTTCTAGAACCAGTCAAGTCCATTCCAGCCTCTGAGTCCGCTCCAGTGTCTGCTTCAGGCCCAGTGCTCAACCCAGAGCAACCTCGTAAGCGGAGGAAGAAGATTCGTGTTTTAGTCCACTGTTATGCCTGCAGCCCCGGAGGGTGCTCCAGAGTCACCTCCTGAGTCTCTTGCTGTAGCCCTGGAGGGCATTTCAGCTGCCCCTGAGGGCGCTCCTAAATCTGTTCCAGCA